CAGTGGCCTGGCTGCTGCTTCCCTGACTAGGAGAGAGAAGCTAAATGTCTTCAGAGCACCACAGGATGCTCACTCAGTAGCCTGTCTTCTTACATCAGCTGTGCCTCACTTTTAGTGGTAGAAGGCCAGAATGTCCCGTGTTCCCCCCCCCCCCCCCGCCTTTTTTGTTAGGAATTTTCTTTTGTTGTCACTGGACTTAGGGAGAATAGGTGCCTGCTTTCGTTCTACTTGTCTCTGTGGGTCTGTCTCTCTGGAAGAACATGCTCTTTTAGAGGAGAGTCTGCTCCCGGTCTACCTTTGCCATTAGACAGATGGCTAGCCAGTTCTGTGAGTTGGTCTGAGTCTTTCATGGTGGTATTTTAATTTTCATAGTGGGTATCTTTTATTTGAAAATGACTAACCCTGTGTTTGATAATCTTGTACTTGATAGTCTTCTACTTCTAAATGAATGGTTTTCAATTAGTTTCCTTCCTTGTATTTTGGCTTCTTGATTTCCTTTTGTTCCTTTCATGTTTTTTTCATTTTTCAATTCTTCATGAACTCCCTGGAATTTTTGAAACTGTCACCCACCTTCAAACACTACTTAAAATATCCTGAAACATCCTTGGGTCAAAACCTACTCTTCCAAATTCCTTGGTTAAGTGCTTTCATTGCAGCTGCCTCTCTGCTATGAGCTTAGTCAGTTGGTTGACGTCTTCGCTTTTCTTGCCCATCAGCTTGTCCTTGGTTTCGCTTTTCTCCCAATCTTCTTAGGTTTCATAGGCCCTCATTCACTTTCTCTTGCTCTTGCCCTGAGCCAATGCTTATCAAACCTGGTCAAGGGATATCTGAGGGTTGAAGTCAAAACACTGGGAGCAGATGGTGTTACCTAGCAAGAACTGTGGAATGAGAGTAGAGGGGTGCTCAGCCCAGAAATTACAGAGAAGAGTTATGTGTCCAGGCAGCAGAAAAAGGAAGCTGGTGAAGGAAGCTGGGAGAAAAATCAGAGAAGAAGAAATGTTGCTGCATAGAGGTCAAATAAATTATGAAGAATGATTTAACTATTAGGTCGTTTCTTATCACTGCCAGGGCCCATTGAGTTGGCTGACAGGTGCAAAGTCAAATTAGTGGTCCAAGGAGTGAATGAGTGATGAAAATCTGTAAGTGCAGGCTATTTGTTGAGCTTGGATGTAAAGAGACATTAAGATATCTGCTAGAATCATCAAGGTTCTCAGGTCTCCCAAGGACTCTGCTTGTTCCTGCCTCAGCATCTAAGAATTAGGCTATCAGTTTTACAATATCACCAGGCTGTGAGCTTTGCTGAGAGTTTTAGCTTGGGCTTGCCAGGAACTTCAAAGGCCAGTTAATCTCCCCTTGCTGCTTGTTTCTATATATTTCTCTATAACTCCCATTTATTCTTTCACATGATTTATATACCTCCGCGCCCTTCATTCTCCATATGCAACTCTGATTTGATAAACTTTATTTCATGGTACTGAGAAAATAGAAGCCAGCCAAAGACCTGATGTTTCTGCTTCTGCCACCAATCTACCCATCTGTAACCAAACTCAGATATTCCGTTTCCTTCTCTTCCTCCTCCTCCTTTTTGCTATGGATAACTTTTTTATATCACTCCCTCAACTTTGCACATTACTTTAGCAGTTCCTTTTTTGTCTTGTGTTGATGTTGTTTTTCTCTACTGGCATATTCATTCCACCTTCTATATCTTTTGTAAAAAGCCTCTTGGCTGCACATTCCCCTTCACATCTGTTTCTTCCTTCCTAATGACTCTCTGAAAGAACTGTCTACTTGCCTTGCCATTTCTAACTCCTCTGAACCTACTCCAGTCCAGGGTTGGCCTCCATTACTATAGAAAAACAGCTCTTGTCAAGGTCGCCAGTAGCCTCCATGGTGATAAACCCAGTTGTCAATCCTCAGTCCTCATCTTACTTGGTGGGTCAGCAACATTTGACACTGTTGTTGATAATTCCCTTTTCCTTCATGTGGCTCTTTCAGTGCCTAGTCCTGTTGACCCCTCTACCCCCCATGCTTTTCTGTCAGCTTTTGCAGATTCCTCCTAAATGTTCGAGAGCTCCAGGGGCTCTGTTTTCAGACTTCTTTTCCTAGGTTGGAAATCTTATCTAGTCTCAGGACTTGAAATACCATCTGCTGATTTTTTTTTTTTTAAAGTTTCTAGCCTGGCTCCTTCCCTGCACAGTACAGATTATTATATTTTTATATCCAACTGCTCATTCAGCCTTTCTACTTGAGTGAATATATGTATTTCAGATTTAGCAGTGCTTGTTTCACCCCAGAACTCCTCTTGTGATCTTTCCTGACTCAGTTTTTCCAGTTTCTCAGGCTGAGAACCTTGTGTTCGTTCCTGCAAATCCTTCCAGGTCTGCTTTCAGAACATACCTAGGACTTGATCGCTTCTTAACGCCTCCACTGAATAGGTCTAAGTGATTTGCTTCTGGATTTCTGTGGCAGATTCTTGTGTGGTCTCTTGCTTCTGTCCTCGCCCTCTTCTCGCTTATTTTCTATGTAACAACTAGAGCTTCTACATTATGTACATCTATCACATCAACTCTCTGCTGAGAATCTTACTGTAGATTCCCATGTCATTCAGGTTCAGGACCAACACAGTAGTTACCATGTCTAGGAAGCAGAAATTCCTACAAAGGTCTGTGCGAACTGAGCCTCCATTACTCTCTGACCTCATCTCTTAGTTCTCTCCCCTCATTGTTTGAACACACAGGAGTCACTGGTGCCGGAGACCCTTGGCATTGCTGTTTTCTCTGCCTCACTCACTTCCCCTTGGGTGTCTGCATGACTTACCGTGTCTTCTCTCACAACTCTCTCCTCACATGTCACCTTCTTGGTGAGGCATGTTCCCACTGCTGCTGGCACTGTCTGTTCCCCCAAATCTATACAGATTGTCATCTGACACACTGCAATTTAACTCTTTATCATTTACTTTGTTATTTCTCCCACTGGATTGTGAGCTTCATGAGGGCATCAGCTTTGTTCACTGCTGTGTCCCCAGTTCTTTTTTTTTTTTTTTTTTTTTTTTTTTTTTTTTTTTTTTTTTTTAATGATTATGCCATTTTATTTTTTTTTTTTTTTAAAGAGAGAGGAGAGGGGGGGGGGAGAGAGAGAGAGAGAGAGAGAGAATTTATTTATTTATTTTTAGTTTTTCGGCAGACACAAACATCTTTGTTTGTATGTGGTGCTGAGGATCGAACCCGGGCCGCACGCATGCCAGATGAGCGCGCTACCGCTTGAGCCACATCCCCAGCCCCCCAGTTCTTAAATGAATACTTGACATATAGTGAACACACAATAAATTTCTGTTGATTGAAGGAATTTTAGTCGGCCTCTCAGAAATATCAATTCTTTTTATATCAACTGTCAAATATCAACTCATCGCACTGACTTTAACCATATAATTTACTTTTTCTCTGCTCAGTTACTCTTCTTTCCATTCTTCTTTAAGCCCTACTCTGACTTCTGTTACATTGTAGACCATTTCCCCCTTATCCTCAGTTCCTTCCTAGAAGACCCCTCTGTTTACATTTCTTTACCAACAACTGGTTTTCCTTATGACACATGTATTCTGAGGATTACTAGGAGGAGGTGGTGTCTCTATTAATGTTCTCCTAAGTAGCTGGTGTTCCAAATAGGTCCTCGGACTTTGCAGGTGCTCGTGAATGCTCTCATTTGTTCAAGGTCCATGTTGTATTCTGTCAGTTTTCCATATGTATTTGGAGAACTCTGACCCAAGGTTTATAGTCTTCGTTTTTGGGGTGTAATTTTCTAGATGGTGTCATTGATCATAGTGAAACCAGAGTTTTGAGATGAAACTCAATTTTCTTCTTCCACTAGCAGGTGAGATGGAGTTTTTTTGGATGAGGTCTGCCTCAGGTGCAGGGATTATATAACACTTGGTTCACTGCTATTGGTCCAAATTTATGTTAAATAGGGTTTGGAAATGTACTTATGCTATTGGTCGCAATTTATGCTAATTAGGGCTCAGAAACATAGTAACGCTATTGGCCAATACTTTTTTGTGAGTGTGGTGCTGGGGATTGAACCCAGGGCCTTTTATATGCAAGGCAAGCACTCTACCAACTGAGCTGTATCCCTAGCCCCCAATATTGGTGAATTCTTGAGTCCCAACTTTCATTCAAATCTGTCCCACTTTCATTGTTTTGTGCCAGGTCAGGAAACTGGAGGTTGAGGTTGTGGAATAGGGCTTCAGAGCTTATCCACTGTGTGTGTGTGAATGAGTTTGCTGGTGGGGGTGGGGGCCGTGGGGGGATGGGCCGGCGCACCTTGGCTCCCCTTTGCACTATGAGCTGTGCCTGGAGCCTCTACGTAGCCTGTCTGGCAGGCTCCAAGCAGCCTGGTGGCTTGCTTTGCTGGATTGAACAGTTACGCCCCGCTCCCCACATTGATTTGTGATGCCTCATTTATGTTAAGTTTTTACATAATAGAATCTATTTCATTCATCTGTGAATTCTTGTTGCCAGCGCACACTTTGTCACTGAGGCTTTCCTGTGTTTTGATATTTAGTAGGTAGTGGATTCTCTTCGACTTTGCTTCTTAGATTTGTTGGTGATACACCTCCATATGATTTTGAAAAACATTTGATCAAGTTATGAAAAAAAAACTCTCCACTGGGATTTTTACCCCCTGGAATAGTATTAAATGGATTAATTGATGAGGTCACATAAATTAGTATTTTATCAAAGCTTTATATTAGCAAAATGTCTAAAATTTTTACTATTTTTTTTAAACTTGATTTTATTTGTTCTTTCTTTTATATGGTACTGAGGATCAAACCCAGGGCCTCTCACGTGTTAGGCAAGCACTCTACTACGAGCCACAATCCCAGCCCCCAAATTTTACTTTTGTATAATGTAAATCCTTTTCCCTATAAATGCTAAAAGATGTATCTTGTATTAGTTAAGAAAAAGGCAAAAAAATGTAAATGATGTGTTAAATTTGTTTTGTTTCAGATATGTTTTCTTCTTTTTGCCATTCTGTACATCGTTTCCTACTTCATCATCACAAGGTACAAGAGAAAATCAGGCAAGTACAAACATTTTTGTTAAAGCTTTCATTATTGTGCCTCCTGGTCTCAGTGTGGTACATGGGCTCTCTGGGTACTTGTTAGTGTGGTAATGTATTGAATATGCCCATGGTTGAACTAAACAGTGCCTGTTGAACTGGAGCACTAAAAATACCTTCCAGGGAATTTGATTACTGTTAGGATCACCTTTGGAGACCAGAGTCCTTGTTTATCACAATTCTTATGCCCAGCTAAGAATAGTGCTGGGCTATTTAGTATCTGGGGAAATTCCAGAGTTTATGAGGCAATTTGGTTTCTTTTGACTGGCTCTGACTTTGAATAGTCAATTCAGTCCCACCTATCCTTTTCCAGCTACTAGAATATCTTTTTTTCTCTGAAGTACTCTAGAATTGATAGTTTCCATAATACTATTGGCATTCAGTTATCTACTATCCTTTTAGTACTTTATATTATCCTTACCTAGCTAGTGGGACCATGATATCTTTTCTTTGTTGTTGTGATATTGGGGATTGAACCCAGGGCCTCTTGCATGCTAGGCAAGTGCTGTACTATTGAGCTACAGCCCCAGCACCCCCCGCCCCCTCCAGTGAACTTTGTGCTAATTAAATTGTGACTTTTAGGTCAGAGTTTCACAAATACCTAAGCAACTGCTTTGCTGCTTTCTGACAAATCTTAGTTGTTTTCTGGGAATCATAATACTTTCAGCCTATTATGCTGGGCTAATAGCAGGATTCCTTGTTTTAAGGATTCTTTGATATTATATTATCAATTTAAAAACCGTCAAACTTTTGAGAGACATAAGGAAACGGTTCTTTCTCTTGTGTATTACTTTAGGAGTAGTACTTGACTCTGAACATACTGAAGTATTCCTAGATTTTGTAATTGGTCAAAGTTTTGAAGATCTGCAAATCCGAGATGGTATCTTAGCTGTTTTAAAAGATATTTTGGCATAATTTCATAGAAATGGGCACAGAAGGAGAGGGGGAGTGAGTGAGTAAACATAAATACGTTGTTTTAGGGGAGATCAGGGGTGATAAGAAGGAAAATTAAGAGACTGAGAAAGGAAGATTTAAGAGACTTAATTTTTAGGATACCCTGGATTTAGCAGGTGTTGGGAATAGAACTGAAGTGGCCATGTGTATATTAAAGTACCTCCCAAGACGTGATGATTGACTGGTTGTGTATAAACTCACTGTGACTATTGCCTTGTGGTCCTTTTGGTTGTAAAGCTGTTTTGAGCAGCCTGGAATTAGGGATGGACACTTGAGTAACAGAAAGGCCCAAGTACACCATCAACACTGAGGTTTTAAAAGATATTTTAAAAGGCTGTGGTATCCAAATTAGTTTAGGATGGTCTCATTCTCAATGAGAATCTCATTGCCATTACTAATGACAAACTCAAATTATAGAAAATTTGACGAGTTCTAAGATTATAAGTTTTAATTTTATAGTGAAAACTTTAGTGTACTGTTATCAGCCAGAAAATTTAATTCATCAGCTATTTCACTTAATATTCTTTGACAGTACATTTCATACTGGCCCTCAGGTTCTACTAACTTTTATTTTCTTGAAGAGAAAATATTTGGGAACTTTAAATTTACATATGCAATCAGGATTTTAAAAAATACCACTGCCTTCTCTAATTGTATGCCATCCTGCCTGAATTAAATTTGGATCTTTGATGAAATAAACACAATGCTCTTTGAAAGTCTTTATTTCTATTTAGTAATTGCTTTTTTAAGTTTATGTTTTTGTTAACATTTTTAAGTAAATTAGTGAAACATTTTGTTGAAAAAGGATATTAATACTTTAAACATTTTTGCAGATGAACAAGAAGATGAAGATGCCATAGTCAACAGGATTTCGTATGTATTCTAAAATTCAGTTATTCTGTTTCTATTTCTGAAGTCAAATTCTGAAAATAATTCTGATTTTTGGACAAAAATACAGAGAAACAATTACCTGAAGTATTATAACACCTTTATCAATATATTTTAAAAATTCTTTTTAGTTGTAAATGGACGCAATACCTTCATTTATTTATTCATTTTTATGAGGTGCTGAGGATCAAACCCAGTGCCTTATAAGTGCTAGGCAAGCATTCTACCACCGAGTCACAACCCCAGCCCACCTTTCTCAATATTAATCCTACCTTTGAAAAGGTCATTTAAGCAAATATATGTAAGCAGTTTTAAAATTTGCTTATTTAAGGAGATGCCAGATTTTATCTTCACAAGGTTTAATGAGAAAATGGACTTAAGTTTGGAGAAACTGCTGGGTTTAAGAAAGAAAACTCCAGCTGTTTGAATTTTTTTTTTTTTTTTTTTTTGGTGCTGGGGATTGAACCCAGGGCCTTGTGTATGCAAGGCAAGCACTTTACCATCTGAGCTATATCCCCATCCCAAGCTGTTTGAATTGTCTGTGGGAAAGACTGTGACTATCTTGAAAGAGGGAACAGATGTTTTCTGGTTAGTGGAGTGGGCACCTTCTATGACAGGGAGGTGGGCCCTGATTGTTCATCATAGCAAAAAGAGCCACTTCAGAACCACACATTGCATTTAGTCATCTTGTCCCTTTAGTCTTCCTCAGATAACGACCCTGGTCAGCATTTCCTCAGGTTTCCTGATCTTGATGCTTTTGAAGAGTACTGGTCACTTATTTGGTTTTGTCTGATGTCTCTTCATGACTACTATCAGATTATGCATCTTTGATAAGGGGAGAGGTGAGAGGGCAAGAAAAGGGGAAGAGGGAAAGAGATTACCTGTGCTTCCAATACATTGATACACGTGTACTAAAACATGTAGTCACATGCTACAGAACAGTATTCAGCCATAAAAAGAGATGAAGGACTAATAGATCTTGCAGTGTGGATTTCATATAGTGTGAATTGCACCTCAATGAAAGAGTAGTTTTAGCTAACAAATGACTTGAATAGGCCAGATTTGATTCATAATTGAAAAATGAATATAAATGGATTCTGCCTTACTAGATTTGGCAATTTAAATTATTTCAAGTGTCCTAGGAAAGTTGGATAAGAAACAAAAATAATTGCAACTTCACTGTAGAGATTCTTTCCTTAGGCTCCAACTTAGGCCCTAAGCTTGATGTTTTAAATTTACAGGGTTAGGGGGTCTTAATTTTATTACTAACATTGTGATATTTGTCAAAATTTTTACCTAAATTAATGCTTCTGTAAAACTACAATTCACTTCACTACATCTAAAAAACAGTCATGAATCACAGACTGAGTAAAGGGCAGATCTTCCTCCATGTGAAATCCTCTAGGTGTGAAGGGTAAGTGAAGTATGGGCCTTTCTCTTCATCATTTAGTCTGCACAACTTTGGTGGTAAGTGTACTTAAATGCACTTCGAAATTAATAATTTATAAACTTAACAGAGCATATCATTTTGCCTTTTATCTGTAAAAGTGTGTTTAATGAGGATGCAACTGTGTCCTGTTTTCTTGTGAAACTGTCCACTAGCAGGCTTTACTTCCTTCCTCTGCCCCAGTGGGGCAGCTGCACAGCATGACAGTAGGTGGGGCTTTCCCACTAAGTAGTTTCTGTGTCACAGAGGTTTGTGCTATATCCTGTTCCTAAAGGTGGATGGGTTTGCAGTTACAACAGAGTTACGAGGGGGAAGCCTGGAGAGAGTCACTGGAGAGGATGAGTGTTGTCTGGTCAACTCCCTTCCCCTGCATTGGTGATAAGAGTGAAAACGAAAACCAGAGAGTGAGGCTGGTATGCGTTCATAGTTTGCACCCAAAATTAACTTGCATCCAGAAGAGATGGAGAAGCAAAGGAGGGCTTTCATCTTCTTTGTAGGATGTGAATTAAATAACATCGGCAAAACAACAACAACAAAAAAGGTTGCTTGTGGTGTAGCAGGTGGGATCAATGTCACTCCCCTTTTCCCGTCTCCCTTTTCCCTTGCCTTCTCTCCTATCCCTGAAAGCAGTTGTGAGCAAGGTAGAGAAGAACAGGAAGCTTAACTAGGACAAAAAAGGAGTTGAGACACGGTGTTGAGCACAGGTGAGGGTGACACCATTCTGTTCACGTGAGAGGGCTTTCCATGGCTGACTAAGCCTCTTATTGGCTTTTTTTGACCCTTTTAGAGGCCACCTTTGGTTTCTCTTCTGTTCCTGATATGCCTTTATTCCATGCTCTGTTTCTGTGTACTCAAAATCCTAAATTAACTTCCTCTGCCCTTTGTAACTCAGTGCATTTTTGAGAACTCTTCTCAACTAGGTACTTAATTTGATTTGAATTAATAGTTGATCCAAAAATTAAAAAAATAGGTGAGACTGCTTTTGCTGGCTGTGAGCCTGGGCAGGACAAGGAGGATGTTTGTGCTGGAGGGAAGTCTGGCATGTGTGTGTGTGTGTGTGTGTGTGTTGGAGCCTGGCCGGTGAGGTCAGCTGCATAGGTAAAGAGAGCTTCTGAGAAGGGGGTCCCTATAGGCTGAGGATGGTGTCTGTGCTTGTGGGAGTCTGGCTGGGGTGGTGGAATGATTCAAGGGGGAAGGAGGGTGTCTGTATGGCAGACAGTCTAGAGTGGGGAGCTCCATAAATAGGAGAGTGCTTGTCTGTACAGGTTGGGGATAGTGTGATAGGAGATTGGTTATTTGTGATGGCAAAGCCTGATTCTGTAAAGTTAATGGGACAAACCAAGAACAATCAGAGGAAAAGGAAAAATGGAAACAAATTACCAAGTTGTTGCCTTGGAATTGGAGGTATCAGTGTAATTTCATGGTTTCCAGCATCTAGAGAGTTTAGAACTAAATATAGAAATAAATATGGGTCTTTGTGTGCACATGTGTGTGCTCAGCACATGCTGCACCTCTCAGCTCTGTCTGCCCTCTGAGGCACCTGGAAGTGTCTTTCCCAGCATCAGTGAGCATTTCCAGCATGCCCAGAGACAGCGCCTACTGAGCAGAACAGTGTTTTTGGAGAGAGGTTGGGTTGCAGGTTGGGGTCAGGAAAGGCCCAGGCTAATTTTGTACATCTTTTTTTTTTTTTTTAATATTTATTTTTTAGTTGTAGTTGGACATAATACCTTTAATTAATTAATTAATTAATGTGGTGCTGAGGATCGAACCCAGGGCCTTTCATGTGCTAGGCCACAATCCCAGCCCCTAATTTTATACATCTTATTGTAAAGAATCAAGCAAGTACCCAGAGAGTGATGGGCATATGTTGAAGGAGGCAGAATCCTTCAGGATTCTCATACCAAGTTAAAGGCAATTCAAGCAACAGAGTCAAGCATTTAATGGATCCTAATCCATTGAGTATAGTAGAATGGTTTTGAGTCCATACAGAAATCAGTAAGTGAATTAAATCGAAAGTTTCGACAAGAAGAACTAACCTTATGCAGAATACTAATTAAAGGAAAGAGTAACTTTATGGTGGAGAACCCTGGTGGACACCACTTTGACCAGTGATCATAGACAACAGTGTTAGTAAAAGGGCAGACAGCAATTCCCAGCTACTCATAGCTATCAAAAGAAGCGTGGACACTTCTGTGATAGTCCTGTCGAACTCCGTGTATCCACAACGGAATCCTCATTTCCCCTTCAGCCTGCTGTGCTTTGTAGCCTTCTGCATCTCAGGTACTATCAGCTCCACCCTTTCAGTTCAGGCCCAAAGCCCCAAAGTCACCCTGATGCCTTTCCTGTCCTCCTCTCCATATTAGGCATCTATCTGTTCTGTCTTCGGGACCGCACTGCCCATCTTACTGTCTTTATTGCTGCCATATCTGCTTCAGGAGCTTTCCAGTGAGTCTCCTTCTTCTGTCCTTGCTTCTGGTCAGAACATTAGCCAGATCATGCCCCCTTCTGCTCAGAGTTCTGGAGTAGCCACTCCTGCCCACTCAGAGTGCGAGCCAAAGTGCTCACCTGGCCCAAGACATTCCTCCATGGCCCTCTTGCCCTTCTCATTGCTGAAAGGCAGCCATATCTTGTGCTTTCCTTAAAAAGCTGGCAACGCCCGGCTTAGGGCTTTCAGACCTATTTTGTTTTCCCAGAGTGCTTTTGTTGTCAGCTGCCCCACTGAGCTTTCAAAAACCCTTCCATTTTGCTTTGCCTTACCTTCCCCCTAAATTTCAGACAGCCAGCCTGCCTTTTCTTTTCTTTCAACAGGAATTGAATCCAGGGGTACTTTACCACTGAGCCCCATCCCAAGCCTATTTATTTTTTATTTTGTGACAGAATCTTGCTAACTTGGCTTGGGGCCTTGCTAAATAGATGAGATTGGCTTTGAACTTAAAACCCTTCTGTCTCAGCCTCCTGAGCTGCTGGAATTACAGGTGTGCCCTACCACATCCATCTAAATCTTTGCTTTTCAGTGAAGCCTACACTGACGGCCATACTTAATACTGAAACTCGTCTGTCTTCCTTTCAATTTCTAGTCCTCCGTTCCTTGCATTATGTTTCTGTAGCATTTATGATTTTAATGTTATACGATTTCACATTTACTGTTTTATTGTTTATTATCTGACTTTCCCAACTGGATTCTAAGCTCATGAGGGCAAGAATGGTTGTTTTGTTTATTGTTATAACGTGCCTAGAACAGTCCTATCACAGAACTTTAAACATATATATCTTTCTGGTGAATGAGTGTTACCAAAAGACTCACTGAGTCAGATACTCTGGGATGTGTGTTTAAAAAGCCTCGTGGTGGTCCAGATGATGCTTCTCATTACTCTTTGGGGGTCCTGATGCTAGAGCTGGGTACTCCTTCTGTGGTGCTGATAGTACTGCTGCTCAGAATAACATGATTATTCTGACAATCACTGGTTAAAGAACCACTGATGTAGAGTGAGGGATGAGGGAGCCTAATTCATGCAGCATATATTTACTGATTAGCTAGACAAAGACTTAGGATGAAAATAGTGCTCATCAACTTGAAATATCATGCAAGGTCAGGTTCAGATTGCAACTTAAAAGTATCTGATAGATTTGATCGTAAGGAGAACTTTTTCACTACTGTGGGGTTAGGGTTTAGATATGGAATGTCCACCAGCAGCTCGTGTGTTGAAGACTTGATTTCTATGGCAGCAATGTCCAGAGGTGGGGCTTTGGGGAAGTGAGTGGATAATGAGGGCTGTAACCTTATCAGTGGGTTATTCCATTTGATGGATAAATAATTTGAGTGGACTATGGGAGGTGGTCAAAAGTTTTGTCAGGTTGAGTCCATTTGGAGGAAGTGAGTCGCTGGGGACATGCCCCAGGGGACTCTATCTGTCCCTGGCCCCTTCTTTTCTCTGGCTCACTCTGTCTGCTTCTAGCTGCCTTGAAGGAAACAGCTCTTCTTTATTTTGCCCTTCTACCATGATGTGCCCTCACCTAGGGCCCAGGGCAATCGAGTTTGCCGTGGTGGACTGACATATCTGTAACAATGAGCCAAAATAGATCTTTCCCCTAGTTGTTCTTGTCTGGTATTTTGGTCACAGTAATGAAAAGCTGACTAACATGTGGTGAGGAGTGGAAATCCTACTGCAGTGTGTTAAGAAAAAAACTCATGTAGAAGTAAAGATGTAACTTGTATGTCCCTCTCAAGAAGCTTTTTGAAAGATCAGAAATCCCGTAGGACGTTTCTATTCTGAGGATTAGGAGCTAGAGAAGGTGACATGGAAGGTTAAAGATGTCCAGCTGGTGAGGCAGGAGGCCTGTGGAGACAGCAAGGTGGAGAGCTCCCAAATGGTAAATGTTTTAGTCAGCTTTTGTGTTGTTGTGGCTAAAATACGTGATGGGAACAATTTAGAGGAGGATAAGTTTTTTTGGTTACAGAAGTCTTAGTCCATAGATGGGCATGTTCTGGGCCCAAGGTAAGGCAGAACATCGTGGGGGGAAGGACATGGCAGAGAGAAGCTGCTGCCCTCAAGGCAGCAAGTAACTAGGGAGAAGTGGAGGAAGGGGAGAGGGAGAAAGGGGGCTGCAGGGACAGTACATCCTGCCAGGGCAGACCCCTGTGACCCACTTCGTCCAGCCATGCCCCACCTGCCTACAGTTATCACCCCTTTAGACTAGGTTGGGCTGGTCAGATCACAGTTCTTGCAATCCAGTCATTTCACATTCTTGCATTAATACAGGAGCTATTGGGGGATACCTCATATCCAAACAGTAACAGTATGGAAGGAGTTTACCCTTCTGTTCCCATTCTGAAAGAGAAGACTGTCATTTTCCAGGAATGAGGCACTGCAGGACTATGTCAAAAAGCTTGGAAAGAGCTTGAAGATTTGAAGATGTGGTCAAGAACAGGGGATTAGAGATCCAAGAGTCAAGGTTCTGGCTCTTGTTTGCCAACTGAAAGTATATGAAAGTTTTGTGGAGTGTTCAACTAAGTTGAAGTGGTCTTATTGTCTTAATTCATAATCACTGCACAAGATGTGGTCTGTGGACGACCAGCTGTCTTTACCCGCATTATATTCAACATCTCAGTGTCAGTCCTCACCACATTTTGGAGAGGAGGGGAGATTCTGCCTTTCTCATTGGATCAAGGAGATAGTAACAAATGTTAGATACTTGGGAAAACACTGGTCTTATCCCCTCCACTATCACAAGACATATTACTCTAAAGATGCAATTCTTTTATTCTGCTGCATTTCAGAAGGACATTTCTGAAATTTCTTCAATTCTGAAAGGCCTCTCTTTAATTACATAAGTAGTGTGATATAAAGCACACTATTCTATGGTGCTTTTTCAACTTGGGGCCTTATTTTAAGGACCAGCTCTCTGCCAGCTTTAACTCTGTCACATGAACCTTTTATGAATAACTTTTTTATTCAGCTATATTCAGTGGCAGCAGCAGTGATTTTTAAAAAAATATTTTTGTTATCTTTAGGGCCAATCACAACAACTAAAGTGTAATAGGCTCTAATAGTTTTTTTTATGAAAGATCAAGCATTATAGTTGTGATGATCAGTTGTTCAGGAATTGTGGGTCTTCTGTGACTTTAAATAATTTGTTTGTCCCAGAAGCTGACTCCTTTTGTTAGATCACTGGTTATAGTTATTGATTTGAAAACTGTGTTGGCCTTTATTGCCAGGTGTATGATGAGAGTATTACAGGAGTCAAGAGGGGAGAGGAGCTAATTTTCTGGAGAGGAGCAAGATGGTAGAAGCTAAGGAATGATTCTTAGGGCAGATGACATGTGAAGTCTGTTTTGAAATTTGTGCATGACTTGCCATGTGGGTATGTGGAGTGTACTTTAAGGAGGGTGCAGGTGTGGATGCTAACAATGCAGTTTGATGTGTAGGGAAGGAGGTGGGTAGGGAAGTCTAAGTGTATGCTGAAGTGTGTCCTGGTAAAGGCATCCTGAAAAGCATACAAGGAGAGCCAGTCCTGGAGAATTTGGATTTGATCTTAGTTTTGGCCTTGGTAGGAATGATGGCAGCTGGGCTAACATCCTCATTTTCCTAGAGAGGTTTGCTGGGATTACCACTAGAGCTGCCCTCCACCCTAAGATGAAGACTTTGTCTAGAGTGATTTTCTCAGGACATGTGCTGTCTACTCAGCAGAACCAGTTCGTAGCATTTCTCATGTGTTTTATCTGAATTATATGTTGGTATGTAACACATGGTCCACATTTGAGGTTTTTGACATCAATTTACCAAACACAGCAGGTTTTCTGGGCACTTTGACTTTAACTAGGAATATATTTCACTTCTGTTTTTGGCCACAAGATGGCACTGACCTCAAAGTTACTTTAGTCTGTGTATTTTGAGAGTTTAGTATGATTCTATTTTGAATGTTAGTGAAGTTTTCTTTTCTTTTGCCATTATATTCTGTAAAAACTTTTTCCAAGTTAGGTATTTGATATAAAAAGTTTAAACATATCAGGAATAAGTGTAACTGAGAAAGCGAAAGCCCCTTGTAACTATATACCTCCCCATGGGTTATTATACAGTGTGTGGACTTTTTATGCCTCTTTTTTCTTGATTGCATATGTGCATTTTGGGGGGATGGGGTGGGAAGAGCATGTTTTATATTTATTGTTCATGCTTTTTTTTTCATTTGTTGACTTAATTTATTTTAGATTTTTTTTTTTACATTAGAGCTGTGTTTTATCTATTTTATTGATAGACTATTTTTTGAAAATAAAATTTATTAAATAGGTAACAATGTATAACTTCATTTATATTTGTGTGGTAGAAGGATTAAGGCTTTTTCTTGTTCTTGATCACTTATAGTTCTTTTTTTTTGATTAACATATACTGATTGTGCATATTAATGAGATTCAGTGTTTATTTCAGCATTTGTATATTGTCTACACTGATCAGATCAAGGTAGTTAGCATTTCCCTTTTCTTGTCATGAAATAATCATTTTATTTTATTTCTTTATTTTTTTTGGTTTTGAGGATTGAACCAACAGGCACTTTACCACTGAGGTCTCATTAAGATTCTGAGGCTGGCTTTGAACTTTCAGCATTCTTGCCTCAGCCTCTTGAGTTGCTGGAATTACAGATCTGCACCACTACACCCAGCTGAGATAATAATTTTAAATTAATTTTTTTCATACCTTTTTCACAAGTGTTTTTTTTTAACCCGAGACAGTTGTTGCATTGCTTTTAACATACATTGTCAAAGCTATTAATTAAATACAATTGTGAAATAAATACTTGTTTTTAAAATATGAATGGAACCACTGCTGCAAAATGTGAGAAGCACGTTGTATTTTATATATATATAATCTGTCTTTTAGGTCTAGTCATCAGATTTACTGATCTTTTCATGGAGTTTGGGAGTTTGAGAGTTTACTTCCAGGACCATATATACATCATTTGTCTTCCAAATACATATATTTAATGATATCCTTGTATAATATTTTTTTGATTAGACAATTGAGTTTGTATTCTTCTGATGTTGCTTCTGTGATCATTGGTTTGTCCTGTCTAGTGACCATGACTCTCTTCTCTTCCAGGTTGTTTTTGAGCACCTTCACTTTAGCAGTTTCAGCTGGGGCTGTTTTGCTTTTACCCTTCTCAATAATCAGCAATGAAATCCTGCTTTCTTTTCCTCAAAACTACTATATTCAGTGGCTAAATGGCTCCCTGATTCATGGTTAGTATATATTGCTTAGTATAATCATTATTAACATTTTAATTTCTTACTACATTGTATTTTAAAATTTTTCTTTTCTTAGTTTCCTTCATAATTTGTAACTTTCTCTAGTAAATCATTAGGATCCTTAGTAAATCAGAAAAGTGGATTTTACTTACCATTCCTGTTTTTTAGCTGTGAAAGGCTTTTCTCTCTTATTTAATCTAAAAGCAGTTTTTAATATTCATTATGATTTTGATAAAATATCATTTAAATATTTTGGAAGAAAAATTTGATTCAACTGGTTATGTTGAATTTTCATTGAAAACCTGAAAAATCAGGGACCATAGTCTGTTTTATTTGTTTTCTATTAGTTTCCTTTGTCATTTCAAAAATATATGATGGAAGGGGGAAAACACACTATATCAAGTATAAACTTTGTGATTTAAAAAAGTAATGACTGACTTAATATGGATAATAAGATATATTGCTTTGAAGGGAAGTAGACTTGCATTCCAACTTTGGTCAGCCATTTTCTAGCATACCCTGGGCATTATGGTTTGGATGTAAGACACTGAAAGGATGTTGCAAGATGGAATGATTAGATTATGAGAGCTGTAACCTAATCCACTGGTGTGGATTAACTGGGTGGTGACTTCAGGAAGGTAGGGTGTGGCTATAGGAGGTTGGTCACTGGGGGCATGCTTTTGGGTTTAATATTTTGTCCCTGTGAGGATCTCTGCCCCCATCCCGCTTCCTGATTGCCACGTCTGAGCTGCTTTTCTCCCCTGTACCCTTCCACATTAGAGTTGGCTGTCTGTGGACTGAGACCTCTGAAACTGTGAGCCAAAATAAACTTCTCCTCGTCTAAGTTGTTCTTTTTTTGTCACTAGAGTTTGAACCCAGGAGTGCTTATCTGATGAGGCATATCCCCACCCCTTTTTATTATTGTGTTTTGAGACAGGATCTTGGTAAGTTGCTCAGGGCCTTGATAAGTTGCTGAGGCTTTAAACTTGTGATCCTTCTACCTCAGCCTCCCAAGCTCGAAGTTGTTCTTGTTGGGTATTTTGGTTACAGCGAGGAAAAACTAAAACACTGGGCAAGTCATAGTTATTATCTGACTTGTTTCCTATTCTCTTAGTTAGGATGATAAATAAGATCTATCTTGCAGGCTTGAGTTTAGAAATATAACTAATGTAAAATACCTGTCTCTTAACTGGTGCTATAGGTTATTTAGACTGTGTCTTCTCTCTCTCTGTCTCTCTCTCTCTCTTTCTCTCTTTCTCAAGGTGGTGTTGGGGATGGAACCCGGGCCTTCAGCGTACTAGGCAAGTGCTCTACCTCTGAGCTACATCCTCATCTCTCTCTCTCTCTCTGTTCTTCCTAAAGAGACTTACTGTTTTTTATATATTAATTTAGTGTAGGTACACTAAACTGTTTTCTCTCCTAGAACATGCTGGTATAATTCTTTTATAATTGTCTCTTAGAATTCATTAATGTTCTTAGAGATTTTGATATTTTTCTTCTTTATCCTACTCATACCTCCCCCATTTATTAGCAATATTTTTTAAAAATTTTTTTAGTTGTAAATGGACACAATACCTTTATTTTATTTTATTATATTTATTTTTATGTGGTTCTGAGGATCAAACCCAATGCCTCACACACACATCCTGGGCAAGTGCTCTACTACTGACCTACAACCCCAGCCCCAACGTTATTTTTTGTTACTAGTTATTGTAAGTGTTGTTTTATTGGTGTCATTAGTTGTTAGTTATTAGTGTTAACACTTATTTTCTTATAGAGATAATGTAATTCGATAGTTATATGGTGGGTTAGATACATTCTTTATGAAAACCAAATGCATGTAACAGAAATTAGGGCACCTCATTTTCAGGTGTTTTAGTGTGGAGTCAAATTTCCCCCCATCCTGATGAAGTAGCACTTTGAAATTATTGAAGAGTGTCTTCTTATGAAATAATATCTTTTTTAAAAAATAATTTTGTTATATTTATGTGGTGCCTAGTGCCTCACACGTGCCAGGCAAGCGCTCTACCATTGAGCCACACCCCAGTTTAGGAAATAGTATCTTGACCAGTATTTGCTGCATGTTTGAATTCCTTCATGCCATGTTTAAGGTAAAACATGACTTTTTCTTACCAAGGAGCCTTTTTTTGAGTTAATGGTAGAATGTCCTTCTTTAATAACATGCAGCTGACCTGCCATTGTACTAGAAACAGATGTTATCAGAGATGGCTTCTCTCCATTAAATATATGGTATAGGCCAGTGCATTTGGGCCTCCCAAGTGGACATACACCTTGGGATAACTTGCCTTGTAATATTATCATGATAACTGCTAGTGGACATACACCTTGGGATAACTTGCCTTGTAATATTATCATGATAATCCATATGCAACAACTGAAATACCTCTTGCATGCCTTAAATTGCTGCAACTTCTCTTTTAGCTGTTATCATGTTCTTTGTAACTAATGCAAAAGAAAAGAACAGAGTAAAATGTAAGAGATCCACTAGTTTACCAGTTTAATGTATGAGATGAGTAAATTTGAGAAAATACAGAATGTTTGAGGAAGTACAGAGTGTACCTTTTGTAGATGAGGTTCCTTCAGCATTCCCTTAGCTGTTGCCGTGACTCAGGCCCTGCATGTTAAGGACATCAGGAGCAACAATGGCTTCTTTCTGACTTTTTTCCTGAACATAAAAGTAGTATTTGTTCACTATAGAAGGATGGACAATAGGGAACAGTTCAAAGAAGAAGATAAAGCCCACTCTTTTCTCAGTGTATCTATGTGTGTGTGTGTGTGTGTATGTGTCACGTGGCACATGCCATTCTCATCTTTTTAAGCATTTACTATCACATTGTGAATGTTTTACATGCCATTTGATGGTCTTGAAAGCACTGGCTGGCTTTCTTCTCTTCATGGGGCACAAAGATATAAAAACTTCAGGTACATGTATAATTTGTTCCATGTCTTTTGCCCTTTTCTATTTTGTTTTCATATTGATTTATGTGGTCTTTTTGTATGTTGATGTGAGACACATTTACTATTTAATTATATTGAATAATTATTATTTAATTTCCATGAATATATTTTTTAGTTGTTTTAATTTTGCTTTTTAAATTTATTTGCTCTTTTGAGTTTCAGAATTTTATATTTTATGTTATCTAGTCCTTTTCTTCTTAAGAATTTTTAATTTTTATTTACTTATTTATATTTATTTTTTTAAAAAAATAAATGACAGCTGAAAGTATTACAATTCTTATTATATGTATACAGCACAATTTTTCATATCTCTGGTTGTATATAAAGTATGTTGACACCAATTCGTGTCTTCATACATGTACTTTGGATAATGATGTCTGTCACATTCCACCATCCTTGCTAATTCCCTGCCCTCTCCCTTTCCCTCCCACCCCTCTGCCCTATCTAGAATTCATCTATTCCTCCATGCTCCCCCTCCCTACCCCACTATGAGTCAGCCTCCTTATATCAGAGAAAACATTTTGGCATTTATTTTTTTAGGGATTGGCTAACTTCACTTAACATTATCTTCTCCAACGCCATCCATTTACCTGCAAATGCCATGATTTTGTTCTCTTTTATTGCTGAGTAAAATTCCATTGTGTATATATGCCACATTTTTTTTTATCCATTCATCCACTGAAGGGCATCTAGGTTGGCTCCAAAGTTTAGCTGTTGTGAACTGTGCTGCTATAAACATTGATGTGGCTGTGTCCCTGTAGTATATGCTGTTTTTAAGTCTTTTGGGTATAGACCGAGGAGAGGGGTAGTTCCATTCCCAGATTTTCAAGGAATCTCCATACTGCTTTCCATATTGGCTGCACCAATTTGCAGTCCCACCAGCAGTGTCTGAGTGTACCTAGAAAAATAAGAAACTCAGAATAGCTAAAGCAGTCCTTAGGAGGAAGAATGAAGCAGGTGGCATCACTGTACCAGACCTTAAACTATACTACAGAGTAATAGTAACAAAAACAGCACGGTATTGGCACCAAAACAGACTGGTAGACCAATGGTACAGAATAGAGGACACAGAGACTAACCCATAAAATTACAATTATCTTATATTAGACAAAGGTGTCAAAAACATGCATTGGAGAAAGGATAGTATCTTCAATAAATGGTTCTGGGAAATCTGGAAATCCATATGCAACAAAATGAAATTAAACCGCTGTCTCTCACCATGCACAAAACTAACTCAAAGTGGATCAAGAACCTGGGATTTAAACCAGAGACTCTGGGTCTAATAGAAGAAAAAGTAGGCCCTAATCTTCATCATGTGGGATTAGGCCCCAACTTCCTTAATAAGACTCCTATAGCGCAAGAATTAAAACTAAGAATCAATAAATGGGATGGTCCTTTTCTTCCTCTAACTACTTTTGATTTTAGAAAATCCTTTCTCATCCTGAGATGTGACAAATATGCACTTTTTTCTTTTTCTCTATTTTTTAAATGGTTTTCTTTGTACTTATCTGTTATTCCCTCTGGCATTTATATGGGTAACTACCTTTTCTCTAGTCCCTTTCCCAGAGTTAGCTCATTTTCCCAGTATCATCAATTGAATATATTTTTATCTGCTTTTCTAGACTTGGTAAATTATTACATAGGGTTTTGTTTTTGGGCTTGGGTACACAGATTTTGGAGTTTGAATTTCAACTTTGTATTTTACTAGAAGTAACCTTGTTGAATTTGTTTAAGCTTTCAAAGTTTCAGTATTTTATCTGTCAAAGGAATAGAAAGATGTAATTTTAAAATAAGATATATGGGCCATATATACAGCATAAAAAAAATCTATCTAGTCAGATGGTACAGAGTAAGCTTGAAAAAATAAGTGCTGAGTTTTAATTCCTTGTTCTTTCCCACTGTACTATGATATTGTTTTAAAGACTGTAGTTTTGTCATGCTTTGGTCCCACTAAGTTTTTAAAAGCTAACACATTTTATGAAGGTTTTCATAAGCTAGTCATACATTTTATTTCCACTGCATGTAATATGGAGATACGACAATTCTGTGGTAAGTTTTTTCAGTTGTTGCTTATTATAAATAAGGCCATACCACAGATAATCACATTTGTATGTATGGTTCAAATACATATCTGATGTAGAAATTTAGAAGACAAGCAGCATAACTGGCAGATTGGACCTTCATCAGTGACTGTAGCCAGGTGTCTTGGTGAGTGTAGATCCATGTTGCTGGGCCCATGCACAACCTCCAAGGCCACCAAGGCCACTTTGTGCATGGATCCCCTGGGTGGTGACATGCATAGCTGTAAAGCAGCTGACTGGTATCTACAGTCATTCTATCCCTTTGAGTCGTTCTGTTCTCTCGGCTATTATATTCAGAGAAGTTTGTCCACATCTGTGTGTCCCAGATGTCCTTGTTACCAATTTCCAGTTATATTTCTTCCAAGTTCTGGATCATCCAAACCATTCACTGTAGCCCCATTAATTGGTTTGTAATTGCACATTTCACCGTTTCTTTCTCCAAGTAAAATAAATAGCCAAATTTGCTGCCCATTGTAGTGCCCACTAAGAAGATTTCCCTTCACCTCTTTACTTCAGAGTGTCTAGAGAGGAGCTGTAGTGCCATTGCTGTCCACATTAGACTATGCTAAACCAGGCCCAGGTCTCCACTTTCTGTCAGCTTTCATAGGGATTCTCTTTGAGGCTGGCAGATAGATGCAGCTTGAGGCAGAAGAGACAGTGTAGCAGGGGTGGGAGCTGTTGGTATTTGGGCTACTTTTTCATGAACTTAGTTATTCCTTCAGGACCTGCTTAGGCCTGAGTACATATATACCACTTCCATTTGATGATGGAATATTGTTCTGTTGTCCAACTTTTTAGATTGGGATTTCATAAAATGGCCAGTTCTGATGGGCAGCTTAGGATATATCGTTAAGAATTCAGTCTCTACTAAAGCCCAGTATCATGTCGATAGCTGTTTCTCCTAAGAAGATTAATTATCTGAAAAGAATGGCAGGCATTGCTTCAACATCCTAAGGGCCTTTCTGTGATTCATCCATGGGGTCCTGCCAGGAGCTCCAGACTGCATACTTATCTACCACTAACACCTGAAGCACCATTGGATCTGCAGGATCACATGGCCCAAGTGGTAGAGCAGTTTGTGAAGCAACCTGGACCTGTTGTAGAGCCTTCTGTTCTGGGCCCCACTAAATACTAGCATCTTATTAGGTAAACTGATAAATGGATACATCCAAGTGAGAAATGTATTGCCTCCAAAATCTAAGGTGGCTCACTGGATGTTGTACCCCTTTTTGGTGTAGGAG